AGTAGCACTGGCATCAAGTAAGGCAGTACCACATGAAGTTTAGTTTGGATAAGTTGTGCTTATTTGTAGTTAAGTCAGACAAGGTTTACATGGACTGCAGCAAATTATCAAGGCACACGCAGAAACAATAGCAAATTATCTGCAATCGCCACTGTACTTCCACCCATATGGTGAAGTGATAAGGAACGATCGATGCAAGCGCCACGAAAAGTATTGAGCAGGCTTGAACGGGCGAGAAACGGCACGACCGGAAGGTGTGTGTTGAAATAGTCATGGATAGAAGCCACAGGTGAACAAAGATGGTAGGTGTGATCAACATGTAGTTCGATGTAAGCAGATTTAAGACGATCAGTAATTATGAATTCTTTTACTCCATACTTTTTTAAACGAAGCAATTTGGTTTCTGGGAAAAGACCTCGGATGGAACTTCATATGGTCGTGCCAAATGTCTTTGAACAGCGTTGATGCAGATAAAGACAAATAGACGGTTTTGGAAATCAGAGTGGTTTTACCGTTTACCTATCCGGTCACGTAGAAATCAATCGAATTGATCGGAAACGTTGTTTGAGTCCTTTAGGATATGAGATGATTTATTGTCCTCCGGTGCCGTGATAGTCTAGTACCATTTCACCAGGTTGATTCAGGATTGTAGCGAACAAGATTTCTGCGGAGCGGCACACAATGTTATGTTGGGTTGTGTTGCAAATGCCAAGAAGAATGGCAGGGTGGTATTAAAATAAACAGTAATCAGAGGAACTAGCCATCATGACCACTTTCAACGGTCGATAAAAACGCTTGACGAGGCCATCGGCAGATGGACGGTAGGCGGTTTCCAAAGGTGAACACAATCTAGCAAGCAACGCATAGCACTACACAGCATAGAATTGACTTGGTTTCCTCTCTTGGTGGTGATGGTGGCTAAAACGTTGGAAATCCACGCTTCGACGAAGACACGGGCAATAGACTAGGTAGATGTAACCCACAGAGGAACATCTTATGGCTTACTGGTAAAATGGTCAGCAGAAGTCACCGGATCAGGGAAACCATTGAAAGGTGTTAACGGCCCAACTACATCCACGTGCAGGCATTTGATATGTGAGTCAAGAAATTATGATGTACCCGGGCTACTGCTAGTTTGACTATGCAATTTACTAATCTGACAATTAAGACCATGTTTAGCCAACTGTCGGATATCAGCACGCATTTATGCCAAATTAATCGGGCAGTGCTGTGCCTCACGTTAGATTACAAACTGGAATGTGATCGTCCGTGAGTATGATATAAAAATGATTCGACGGAATAACTGCGGAACAAAGAGCTCTTGCATACCGGTCGAAAGATTACAATAAACTCCTATCGGATTTAAGCACACGTAAATACAAGGATTAAATTTATGCGTTTGATCGAAGGCTGGAAAAGATCAGGCTCTTTGTCTTGAGCGATGAACATTTTCTCCTGGTCAAAGGATGCCGGTGACAGCTGGTGCAGATGAGCACACGATAGCGCGTCAGCAACTGTGTTGTTATAACCATCGATGTAAGAGGTCGATACAGAACTTTGACAAGCAGTTCAGATATCAGGTTCCACTCGGTGAGCAACGGTCGAAAGCAGAACGGAAGGCATACACCATAGATGTGTGAGCAATCCGGTTAATGAAATCTCATCCATCCAGGAGGCAAAACAAACTTTTTACGGTTTAATTAATTGGCAATAATTTCACGACCGACGATATTATACTTGACCTGAGCATGTTGCGGTCTGCGGGAGATAAAGGAAACCGCTTGAAATCCATTATCGATCAACTCTTGCAATACGGCCACAACAGCGGCTTTTAAATCATCTGTCCTTGAGTCTGTCAGTCAATATAAGCTTTATGCACATAAATGGTTGCATTCTTAGTAAGTTTCATTATCAACTGTTAATATACAAGAGGGTTACCAGTAAAATGCAAATTTTACTAATTAATATAAAAAGGAGGATGCACTGTCAACGACCAAGTAAATAACGATTCCAAAAAGTTAGATGAAATCTTCGGGATTTGTTTCCATTAAAAACGGAATGGGTTTCGTAAAAACGCTAATTCAGAATTCGTTTCAACACGTAGAATTTTGTGCCTACCAACAATATATCGGGGATCGTACGCGATATATTGTGTGCGATATATTCTGACCGTGCTCCACAACGGTCGGTGATCAGCAGGGGACTGGGAGGTTGCCGTAGCGGACAACAAGCCACTTTGCCTTGGTGAAGGAAAAGGGAAGATGACATTGTGATCTAAGAGCTGTTAATGTGGAGAAAAATGCCATGGGTTGCAACGCGGACCTAGGTTGATATGAGTATGATGATAGTTTGAATGCACCGTAAAGTGCGTTGGCGGATTCAGTCGCTGTCATGGCTGTCGACGATACCGCTGCTTTCCGTGCTGTCTTCCTTCAGCGTGTGTACCGCACTTTTGAGCAGTTCGAAAGTGACTTAAAGCGCTTTCAAATGCGTACTGCGTCATGTTTTTTCAAATCGGATGTCCTGACATCGGTTGGTTATAAGAGGAAAACCGGAAAAGAGTTGCCTGAGGGTGTGCGATACAAATCCGTACACTATAAATGCGTGCATTGTTCCCGAAGAGGATACACATGCAAGCGGTAAGTTCACATGTAATGTTTGTGAGACGCTTATTAACTTTAGGTACAAAAGTTATGACTGCCAGGCACATATTGCCATACGGCATAACGGCTGGTGCTACGACATGGTATCCTACAGCCTTCAGCACAGCCATAATTTCATGTAGGAAAGCCGTTTCTGTATGTCACCAACAGACGGCTCCCGCGGCACGCGGAAGAGGACATCTATCGCATGATGCAGTCTTTCAAGGACACACGTGAGCTCAGGAGATATGCGTTGACGCACTACGGTCGAAGGTTGAACCGTTACGATTTCCGGACCATAAGAGATAAGATGAGGGGAAAGGTTGAGGGAAACTCGGTTAACGCTGTTATACAATTGCTGGAGACCGCCGGTCAATGTAATGTAGAGTATGAGGAGTCGGAGGTACGCTACATATTTTTTGTTCCCAGGTACGTACGTGACCTTGTGGAGCTTTATAGTGAGGTATTGCTGGCGGACGCGACGCACCAGATGAACTGCGGTGGCTACATACTGTGGCACTGCATGTTGGTAGATTTGCATGGTATTGGGCGTTCAATTTTCTACGCCTTGCTTCCTAATGAGACAACGGCAGCGTACATGAACGCCGTGCGCAACATGCGGCTGATGTTACCAGCGACTGAGGCAGCACGGACGGTGGTGATTGATAAGTGCATGGCCCAGGTCCATGCATTCCAAGCAGTGTACCCCTGCACGCGGATTGTATTGTGCCGTTTCCACCTACTGAAGGATGTCACCCGTCGTTGCAACGGCTTATCCACAAAATGTGCAACCGACAGGTTGGTTATTAAGCAGTGGGTACGGAACTTAGTGTACGCTAGGAGCTCTCGGTTGTTCGTCAGGTATTTGACAGCCATTAAAGAGCGAAACGCCGACGCGCACAGATACTTAGTACGAACCTGGTTGCCCTTTGTCTCATCATGGGCGGCGCACCGTTTGACGTCCACCTGTTTGTTCGGCTGTTTTACAACGAACCGCGTGGAAAACGAAAATAGGCATTTGAAGAGTGGTCTTTCCGAGCGGACCTCTTTATTAGACCTGTTTACCGCGGTTGTTAACCGCGTGATTGATGCTCAAGCTCAGTGGGAAGATGTCATGGGTAAAACCGATTTGTCGGAGCATCCAATGGACTCTTGCTTGCATAGCCTAGGGCAGGCAGCGTTTCAGTTTTCAGGGTATGCAAGAACGCGCCTGCGGTGCCATCACACTAGGGAGAAGGTGACAGTGACGGAGTTGTCCGATGATACATGTCAAGTGCAAGGTACCCGTAGAAGGTACACCGTGTTAATGGGTGAGGAGGTAACCTGCCAATGCAGCTTCAGCCGGCAATGGCTGCTGCCGTGCGCACACATTGTGCATGCATTGCACGCTGCAGGCAGACCGGTTGACGACATATTGCGTAACAACCGGTGGGTTGTGTCGCACGCGCAACAACCGCGTGTTACCGCATCCACGTCCTCCGCCGTCGTCCCCTAGCGTCTAGTTCCACTGTTGCACCGGTAAGTAGGGAACAGAAGCTTCGGGAATGTAGCCAGGTTCTGGGTGATATTCAGGTACAAGTTTGCAGCCTGGGCGATGCGAAGTATAGGGAGGTTATGGATCACTTGCGTGAGTTACTACGGAACCTTAGCAGCTCTCACGAGGATGTTGCGGTTTCAGCCTCCGCAAACGTAATGGATTCACCTGCGGAAGGGACGAGTGAAGGTACCAGGGAAGGCACAAGGCGTAAGCAACGTTTAGTTCCCATTCCAGAATCGTCAGCCAGTCAGGAGCATGAAAGGAAGGCACTTCGTTTTCGAGACTTGCACACGAAAACCGCTAGGGTGTATAGGCCTCCAAGGAAGCGTCGTAGCCATGCACCACTCCCAGCCAACTACGACAATGACAAGTGCGCTTCGTGCCTCCAAACTGACTGCGAGGCACAGAGTGGACAGGTGGTTGACTGGGTCATGTGCTGCGACTGCGGCCTTTGGTATCATCAGGTATGCGCCTCGTACAGTGGACAGGAACACTTCACCTGCCATCGGTGTATGTAAGTCCTTCTTTTTCATATTGCTACCTTTTTCGTTTATTTATAACCGTGCTATCCATTGCTTCCGCATGATCGTTAGGTACACCCACTGCTCCCATATGCGGTGCCTCCCCTACATGACGTTTACGTCACGTACGCCAACCTCGGTAACGGGATCACACATAATGGGGGTGGTCAGGTGTGCCTACGGACATCAGAAGCACCCACAATTCCGCTGCCTTTTTAGGATGCACATTTACTTATCAGTTCCTTCGTGACAGCCCCATCTTCTAAGCAACCGGAATAAGGATTGCGCTTTGCAAGGCACCGGGGTAACCTGCGTTGACAAGGTAAGAAGCACGCTTGACGTATAATACATGGTACATGTATTCCTTGCGCTCAAACTGCATTTTTGATATCATATCACCTCCCAGTTGCTTAGTGATCCGCCGCGTGGGATGAGTATGAATTACCTCACCCATACGTGCGTGAGCATTTCGCATGGGACTGAACAGCTTATCCTTTCCTTTACCTTGCGTGCCGCTTCTACCTACGGTTGCTTAAAGGACACCTGTTTTATGGTCCTGCATTATCTCCATTTCTGGCACTCTGTTATCCCATCAGCAATACGTGGCATCATGTTTGTTAGCAGCATTAGATAACACATTGGCGTTCATCAGCAACTTCCGGTAGACCATAGGCTAAAGGTTAGGGAGGCCGTGAAGGACGTCAACAACAGGCGAGCCCCAAGTGAACAACGTGCGTCTTCACTGCGAGGCTTGGTGATTATGTATCTGAGGTACATACTCCCGGTATCATTTTCCACTGTACGCGGTCACTCCTTGAAGGTGCACTAACCGAACTTCAACATGCTTCTGCACAGTGTTAACAGGGAATCTGGCGTTCAGGGGTTTCAAGGGTGACTTGAAGCTTTTGCGTGGCAACACAAAATGGTTCCAGTTCCCTGAGTAACTCAGATCTTCGTACCTCAACCTCCTTTTCTCTACCTCTTCTGAAGCATTGATATCATTTTCCTTCTTTAATGTGCACTTCTTTTTCCGTGCCTTCCATTTCTCACCTCCTATGGTTCACTTACCTCACGTGACTGCCGAAGCAGGCACTTATAGGGCACCAAACGTGGGCATTAACCGTTTGCCCAGGGAGGCATAGGGGTGTTCAGATTTAGATTCAGTTGCACTGGAATGATAGGAAATTCCCGTGAGTGTTCCTTCTTAAGCACATCGTTGAGCCAGGAAATGAGAAGGTGGTAGGTCTTGGTAGATCTTAAAGGAAACTCCTGAAACACCATGATCAACCCATTACTGCCCACCTTCCCTGCACTAGCAGTCCCGGCAGTGTAAGTTACGTTAAGTAGTCAGGAAGTATGAGGTAAATGTTAGATAAAGGGGAATGAAAGTCACTAAAATGAAGGATAACACCAAAGAGTGAAGAGAATGACAGAATAAGAACTTAAAGTTTGAAGATGGATGTGCTCAGGAGAAGGGAAAGGTTCGTGTTGCCACACAAGAGCGTCTAACTGACGCTCAAAACCTTAACCGTAGGTTCACGGAATACACTTTCTGGAAGCGAGTTCCAGCGCTCGATACCTCTACGCGATAACCGCGTTTCCGCCCTGATCCGGTCAGAACGCGGCTTGTGTAGCTTCATGGGATGACCGCGAAGACAAGGCAACCTAGCCGGGCTAAATAGCCAGCTCAAGTCCGGTCCAACCTTACCTGTTAAAATGCGGCAAGTAACCATTACGTCTCCTCGAACCCGTCGTCAGTGCATTGAATACATACACAAGCTAAGTAGACGCTCGGGGTACGAATGCCCCCGTAACCCCTCGACCAATTGCGTACCTACTCTCATAACCCTCTCGAGCTCCATTTTGTCCCGAACAAGGCAGGGCGGGCAAGCCTGCACGCACCAATCCTGATGGGTGCGGAAAAAAGCGGAGAACAGCTTCACCAATATGTCGGCCGTTAAGACCCCGAAAGAACGTCGTTTTAACCACAACATTCTGAAACCTCTACTTGCGGCCTTCTTCCAGCTGTCACCAGAATGCAAAGACGATGAATGCACGACGCCTAGGTCTACGTGGTTGGAGACAAGGGGAGTTTAACCAACCCCAGTACGTACCTGAAAGGTGAAAAATTTGCTCCCATACGAAGAACGGAAACCTTAGCCTGATTTATGGGCATAAGCCACAAAGTAGACCAGTCCCAGAGTCTGTCCAGCGCATACTGTATGGCCTCGGAAACTCCAGGAACATTAAGAACATCCCATAGCTTAACGTCATCAGCACCCGGGATTATCCATAGTATTCCAGTGCTCAATGTATTATAACCGTCCATACATGAAGTAAACCACTTTACCACAAGCCTCGCCTGATAATGATTGCAGCTAGATGGAACCCTACGCAAGCAAATATGGAGAGAAGTAAACCGTTACAAACAAGTGAAATAACACACCACAGTTAACCCGTATACTTCCTGCAGCGACTCTCTCACGTGATAAACTAAGCCCGCTGACGAACGAAGAACACGGACTAATACCAGTTGTGGGGCATTAAAACAGTAACCGGATCAGGATTTTAATAAATACCTGGCCATTATGTTTCATTACCCATTTACATTCGAGAAATATGCCAAGTAACATATTACAAGGCAATGAAAAATATAAGAAATATTTACCATATACCTAAATATGACAGATACACTAAATAACATACCTATATTATCAACATATATAAAATCAATCAATATATAAAAGCATTATATATATATATGTATTTTATATATCATAGCAAAAATATATAATATTACAAAAACCAAGTACATCGAAATCTCCTAGATAGAAATAGCGTTCAGCGATTGCATGGATGAACTATATCGCTAGGACTTGCCATTTCCCTTTAAAGTATATTACAGAACTTCACCTATTATCACGTGTTGCGTATCCATCCACTATAAAATTCTTCCCAAATTAATTATCCCATACATTACAAATTACGAAAGAAATCATTTGTTGATAATCCGTGAAATATACCTTTGTACGGTTGCAAACTACATTTACTTTCACCCATGCTGTAAACAAATGCGTGAAATATGGAGTTTCAATCCGCACTTCCCTAGCTGTAGCCGTGTGAAACTTTTAAAACAGTTATATATCACACCACACACGGCATTATAACAGTTACCCATTTTTTCAGCTGCCTTTTCCCTAACACGCATGAAGCGTATCAAGTAAAAGACTATCTTTTATTATACGTACATTTTTTGTGCCCTAAACGTTAACATCACCAAATATCACTTGCCTCCGAACCCTTTAAGAAGATTTAATTCCTTTAAAACATAGCGCAGGTACTACAGCTACCATTTATCAGTGTCACCTCTCGCTATATCTTCCCTTTCAGAATACATCACCATTTATTCACGCAGCGACGGTTGCTGTCATGGCAACCATGATTTCGTATTTCCTGACTACCTT